CCTTTTGGTACCTGTACAACTTGTAGTTTTTGAAATATTAATGTTGAAACTTTATTCCAAATTCATAAAATGGGAGTCAATGCAGCCTTGTAATGGTTCAATACTGCCCCCAGCTGTACTCAACTTGGTACTGCGCCATAGTTTTTTATATTTAATCTCAGTAGTTCAGTGTTTACAATACTAATATGATTGTATTTTGATGTTTTACTATAATATTGTCTTAATACTGCTCTATTTTTGTAATATTGTGCATTTTTGTGTCAATAATTGTATTGGCAATGTGACCTCTTTCTGCACACATACAAATCAACCCCTGCCACCACCTTCTGCCACAGCTCCATTGGTCTAATGGTCTATGTCATGGTCTTTCATGTAGGAGTTCAGCTTTCAAAACCCAGCTAATACAACTTTAACAAAAATCTCTTCAAACTTCATATTTTCACACAATTACCTTAATTACAAACACCTGCTGACGTGACAGGCACAAGCTGGTTTAGAAAACACATTTGAACTTGGTCAAAGTTCATTCTGCAAGTCCAATGCTGCAGGAAAAGCCATGCTACAATGACATGCTACATGGCAATGCACACTTGTTTTACATCGTTAAAACCCATGTCTAGTATTTCTATTGGAATCATAATGTGAACATTATGGCAGTTTAAAGTTTAAAAGGTTGTAAAATAAAGCCTTAAAGGGATTCTGGATTGCTGTCCAGCCAAACATAAAAACATGAATAATCCAGTTTGAAGTGATGTTCTGTCTAATGGTTATCARGTTCTAGCTGTGACATCAGAGTGTGGTGAAATAAACAAAATACTTTGTCCAGGCTAATAGCTAAATAAATGTGTTCCAAATCAGTGATTTAAAAACTGTAAAACAGCAGCCAATGTTCAAAACTAAAAAAAATACCAAATTAAAATATTGTGAGACTTCAGAAAGTGACCATTTATTTGAGAAAGTTTACAAAAAGAAGTAATTTATAAATAAAGAAAGGTGCAAGAAAAAAGTGATTGAGAACAGAAGTGATGAAGAGAAAAGCTTGGTGTTTAGTGACTGTTGCCCACCTTGGAATAAAAGTCCAGTCCTGAGGGAGTGATGGCCGTGAAGGACACCTGCTGTCCACTCCGTCTCACTCTGTCCACGATGTCTTCATGACTCAGCGACTCCACTGACTCTCCGTTAACTTCCAGTAAGATCTGTCCATCCTTCATCCCTGCAGTCTCAGCAGGACTGTCCCTGTCCACCTCCCGCAGAACATGATCTGTTTCCAACAAATCAAACATTAAAACCTCTTTAAGTCACAGATTAGGATTTATTTATTTATTTCTCTGACGTATGTTTCCTGATGGTGTTTTCTCTTGTCGAAGCAGGAAGCCGTAGCCTGCAGGTCCAGAGATCAGGTGCAGTTTTCGGGCTTTGAAGGGCATGTTGTGTGGGACAGCCATGGCAGGCAGGATGGGCATGGACTTCTTCAGGTAGATCTTCTCACTCTCACTGTCGATCACCAGGATGGTGATGGCACTGCCACATCTTTTCAGCTAAAAGAAAACATTTGCAGTTCAGTGTCACGGTCACGTTTGTCCTGTGAGCTGGACTGAGCTCTGAGGAGAGCAGAGTTTTATCATTTATATCATCAACATCATGAAACAAGTTTTAGTCTCATTTACCTACGATGCACTGATTTTTACAGACTTGTAAAGTAACCAAGTACAAATACTTCTTTACTGTACTTAAGTAAAATTTTTGTGTATCTGTACTTGAGTAATTATTTTTCAGTGTACTTTTTACTTCTTATATTTTAAAAAAGACAAGAAGTATAAAGTTGTTCCTTTTATTTCATTTCTGCTTGTTTTCATTGCAGCTTGTTGTAAAAAATAAAAACTATCCATATAAACTGAGCCTCCTAGATAGAGTGAATTTAACTGTGGTTGAATGAGAAGTATAAATATATAAAACTCTGATAGTGTATTAGTTTGTACACAAACAAATCATGTCACACTCCAGCAGGACAGAATCCTTCAAATAAAAGGACTGTACTTAAGAAGTATTTGTATTTCATGAATTATATTCTTACATTTGGCCGCAGCCCTCAGATAGATTTTCATTTTGGGGAAAAGCTTTGTGCAGCCTTGATATATGTATATAAACTGAAACAGCTGGACTAGTGCATCCTAAATTTAACATCCATTCATTCTTTTAATACAACAGTCATTTCTGCAGTTTTTGGGGAGGTCACCTCCTAATAAATGTCCTTACAGAAAATCTAACTGCTCATTTTAAATCTACACTTTGACTTAATACTTAACTACAACAAATATCACATACTTTAACACTTCTACTCAAGTTATATTCCTAAAGGAGACTGTAACTTTTACTGAAGTAACTTTTTGGTAAAATACTCAAGTATCTTTTTGTAGTACTTYATACAACACTGGTAGGTTGTAAGGATTAGTCTGGATTTTACAAGATTTTCAAGAAGTAACTGCCATAATCCAACATTTTGACTGAAATGAAAGAAGAAAAAAGCTGCATAATAGTAATGCTCCTTCATTAGGTTTGCATTGGCTTCCATTATTTTTTGATTAGCATTCTGATTATTTAATAACTACTGACAAAGAATAAAATACACTTTTTAACACTATCACATTATGTCATGAGTATATTGTACAAACAGGGTTGTTTATTGTATAAAATGATAATTATATGTCGTGTAAGCAGTAAGCATGATCATTTATCCAGATGGTGGCAGTAGAGTAGGTTTAGTCTGCGTTAATGAGACTCATTAATTAAGACAAAGAAGAAATCGGCTTCCTGGGTTAATTTGTTATTGGTGATTTGTGATTCTGTTATTTCAGACATGTTTTAATGATAAATGGGTTGAAGACGTGGCAGGGGATGAATTATAGTTCCTGACACTGCCCTCCCAGTGTAACACATCATATTGTTGTGTTGGATGGAGAGTCTGAGAAGGAAAAACTGTTTTTTTCTTTTGTTAGCAGTGAAAATGGAAAGAAAGTGTGACCTTCATGTTTATGTGCTCAATAGGATGATCAGACCAGCTGCTGATTGTGACGCCTCCTGCTGGTGCAGTGTGGTACTAACTGTGTTTCCACCAGTGGGAGTCTGGAGGCCCAGGTGGTGAGGCGCACACACCGGATTAGCAGCTATGCCAGTGTGTCTGGGCTGCTGCCCACATAATGCCTCTGAAGCCATGGTGCACAATCGTGGTCCTCAAAGACCCATATCCTGCATGTTTTACTTGTTTCCCTGCTCTTCACGTAGTTTTTCAGTTCTGCAGAAGCCTGCCAATCACTCATTCAGTTACATGAGTTGTGCCAAAACAACTAAGACATGCAGGATGGGGGTTGTTGAGGACCAGAACTGAGAACCACTGCTCTAAAGTGCTTAACATGACCAGTGGTGGGCACCAGTCCACTAAAGCACAAATCTGCTAATTACAGACCTAAATATTTTATTTATGCTTTAACAGTCTTACTAATTTTTATAATTCATAAGCAGATTTGTACTTTCTAAAATTAAAA